TTAGCACGTTCCTCAGCAGCTATGGTTCAGCGATGGAGTATTGCTTTGAGTGCATATGACTATACGGTTCAGCACAGAAGTGCCAAACAGATTCAACATGTTGATTACATTTCTCGACAGTCATTACAAGATAAACCTATTAATACTTCGGATTGTTTGTTAGTGCAACCTTTACCAGTGAGACGTTCAGATCTCATTAGAGAAACTCGCAGATATTTTGGATGTATACTCAGTGCTATAAGGAAAGGTTGGAATGCTAATTTGAAACGGAGATTTCCTATCTATTTTTCGAAGCGGGATGAGTTATCTACTACTCCTGATGGTATTCTGTGTTCAAATGTTCGTGTTGTCATTCCTCCTTCATTGCGTAAATCTGTTCTTGAAGATCTTCATAGTGGTCATTTAGGTGTTGAGGAAATGAAGTCCTTGGCAAGGCTCACATGCTGGTGGCCAGAGATAAATGCAGATATATGTCGTACGGCAAACAATTGTGAGAAATGTCATCAGTTGAAAAATCATCCTTCAACGTGGGTGCCATGGTCAGTATAGTCTGAGGCCTGGCAGAGGATTCACGCTGACTATTGTGGACCATTTCTTGGTAAATACTACGCACTAGTAGTCATTGATTCTTTTTCAAAGTGGCCTGAAGTTTTTTCACAACTTCACCAAATTCTGATTTCACAATACAAGCATTAAGAAAGGTGTTTAGTCGAGAAGGGGTTCCCATGGTGTTGGTGACTGATAATGGCTCACATTTTGCTGCAGATGCAGTCACTACCTGGTTGAACGGTATAGGGTGCAAACATCTATTTACTGCTCCCAGACATCCGTGTTCTAATGGTCAGGCAGAGAATTTTGTTAGGACATTAAAGACTGCTGTTGATTCTATAGCCCCCTCAACATTTAATGAGCTGGAGAGGGGAGTAGATACCTTTCTATTGCAATATAGAAATGCCAAACATTCGGTGACGAAGGAGACTCCAGCGAAGCTATTGAAAGGAAGAATTCTTCGGTCGAATATGAGATGTTTGGAGTCTGTAGAAGTTACATACTATCGAGGAAATGATCTTCGACCATCTACGGGTATTGTTCTGAAGAATATCGGAAAATCGATGGTGCGAATTCTAGACATCGATGACTTAAGTACACACAGTCGACATGTAGATCAAATACAATTTCAGGAACCAGGTGAGTCAGTTCCAATTTCGATTGTTAATTCTAATGCTAATGAGCATATTCTAGATAATACAGAATCCTTATCCAATACAATGTCAGACAGACTCAGGATGAATTTGAGAAGAAGACGTACGATTGATTACAAACACCTAGACTCCAATTTAAGCTGTGGCGGATGTGGTGTTTGAATGAACCAATGATACCTTGGTACTGGTTGAATGTTTGATTTCGAATTCTAAATACAGTACATTCGTTGTGCCTGTGTTTTCTTAATTCAATTGCGTTAATCCTGGAATTCCTAATTCATACGACAATTAGAATACTATAGATTTGAATACAGGACCTTCGGTTTTGTGCGCAAACGGGATTATGGATGCGCATAGCTGAGCGATCCCATATTATGGAACGAAATGGCTGTTCAGTGGTTTCAGGTTTTCCATGGTGGTCTAGCTTTAATTGACTCATAAACTCAACTATTTTATTATGTTATATGTTTTTCGATTGGTTTAAATATGAATAGTTATTAAGGTTTTTTCGACTGTGAACAATCATTTTAAAAAAATGGTTAGGAGAAATGAGGGATTAGAAGTGCCTGTATTAAAACCTTTTATTTTGTGGTTAATAACTGATTAAATCCCATTTTTATGTTATTATAGTACTTAATAAGAATCACTCAATATTAGTTATGATGATTTTAAGTTTTATGCAAATAAGTAGCTTAAGAAGATTTAGTGAATAAAAAGAACCATTTCAAGTAGGATAGTATAGTACGTTAACTGAAGTAAATGTGTGAAGAAAAACATCTACTCCTTCGTAGTGTTTATCTGTAGTCCTCAGTGTTCACCAAAGAGTTTAGACGTGGATTTTTTTAAAATAGCAGATTTCATCCAACTATTAAACAGTACATAATGAACATCTCGATAGTGATTTTTCATCTTTCAGTATAATCGATGGGATTTAGTTTGTCCTGAAGAATGCATAACTTAGTAGGAATTTTTGTATACTCGATCCGGTATAAACATTGGTTATATAAATATTTATCTTCATTTGACGTCTGTGATCATTACAGAAAAGTAATATTTTGCTTGGAAACTTTGAACTAGAGTCATTTTATATAGAAACGTTATTGGTAATTATCATTGTAACAAAATAAACTGTAAGTTTCTAAATGTATTTACTGTAAGATATATAAATTCAGAACATTTGCTTTTCTACATAATTAGAAAAACTGTTTTGTCCAGAAAAGTTTTCAATAATAAAGTACAGTGAACTACACAGTTTAAAGTTACTAGAATGTTTTAAGGAATGTTTCATTAAAAAGCTGTTTAAATGAACTCATTACTTTGTAAAGAAAATATTTGATATAATATGATCCTTCAGGGGATAAGACACTCAAACACCGAATAAAGATTAAGTGAAACGACCAGAAATAAATATTACTGTTTCCTCCTATCTCATCAATAACTAATAGTAAATTTCAAACCTTATTTAGTGGTCACTGAATTCAGAATAGTTTGTCACTGAAGGTAGTCAATCATAAATGTCTATAATTTGATCCAATGTGACAGTGGTGTGTTCTATTAGAAAGTAGAATATAATACAAAAATCAATCTTGTACAGAAGTTTTTAGCGATAGAAATCACTTATAAGCTGTTCTTTATTAATCTGTTAATGTTCAAAGCAACTGATGAAATATTTTACATTTAGCAATGAGTTTGAAAAGTTCAATACAACACTTATGCTATGTATGAAATATAAGTTTGGATTAAAGATTTGTTTGTACATTCAGAGCATCAAAATGCCATAAGTTACCATTTTCTGATTATAATTCCGTCAACAAAACCCTAGTAAATATGTGTATTTATTTATTAAAATAATTATTAAGTCAATTTAGTGATGATTACCTTCTCAGAAATTGTTATCTAAAAATATATTTCGACAGTTAATCAATTGATCTTTAAATAACGAATTCAGTATTTTAAAACAGCGGTAATACTATAGCAACTATCCCAAAATTAATTTCGATTATGGTTAATTTTTGGTTAAGCCTTTTTATTAACTTAACAGACAATGTTATTCGATCAGTAACAATTCATCTATTTCTTTGTACTATTATGATCACTATCTTGTTTTTATAAGCATGTACGCTTGATCACATGTAACAGCCTACGCACATATCTCCTTCTAGCTTAAATGTTGATAGTTAAAATATCACTCGTCGATTCATTCTTTTCCCTATGTACATATGTACTCGAATCCTATTAATAGCTTTTGTCTTGATGTGTCTTAACGAAGCTAAGTGATTACCGTAATTCGAAATCGCGAAAATTTCGTTTCAATTTTCAATATATTTTTGATCAATTTGTCTGACAGTTGATTTATAAATAAAAAAATGCACTTTGAAAACAACAGCCAGTGAAATAAACTAGTTATTATTCTATGATAGTATTGTTCTTTATAGATTAATATAAGTTAAAGTTCACTGTATTACTGAATATAATACAGTTCGTTTTTGATAAAATATGTACAATCAACATCAACAAATAACATTAAATCATATTTTACTGTTCAAGAGAAGTTCACCTGTCTCCGAAATATACTCCTATCTTGATTGATCTATAAATATTTTAGTCAGTAATGAATTACTATTACGTTATTTACTTATCAGAGTTCGTAATTGCTATAACTTGTGAATGGAATGCTTACTTGTTATATCTGGTCGTCGCTGATTGTTGTGTCGGAAACGCCTATCACTTTTACTCGGAACGAGAGACCTCTGCAATTCCCACGACGCAAAAGTAAGAACATCAGGACTGGTATAAGTGAAGATTTATTAATTTCAAAACACAACGACGACAACCGTAGTCGAAAGCACATTCATTTATATATTGATTGTACACACACTTTGATGATTATTAATTAGGATGAAGTCACATATATGAAAAATACTCAGTTATAACAAATCACATACTGAGCATAGTTCATGTCAATTAAATACAAGTATCAGATGGGTTTTTGTGGAGATTGTAGTAATTTCAATGGTTAAGATCCTGAGTCAGTTGAAGCTAGACCACCATGGAAAACCTGGAAGCACTGGACGGCCGTTTCGTCTTATTGTGGGACTCCTCAGCAGTGCGCATCCACGACCTCGCCCCCTGCGAGATTCGAACCCGGGACCTACTGGTTTCGCGCCCGAGCACTTAATCACTATACCACTGAGTCGACATCCAAGTATATCGTATATTATACAGAATAAAGTATCATATGAGAAAACAAATGAAATACTACACTGAATAATCGTCACATTGTATCAAAACGGGAGTAATCTTGAACAAAACTCATAATGAGTAAATCAATCGAATTTTGACTTTTCTTCCCATCATAGCAGTGATGAATACTTTCTGCATAGGTTACACACGTTTAGTACACTAAAGTACTTAATGAATGTTTAGATATAGAATCTTATCTGTTTTAATATTGTAATCATATAGATTTTTTTTTCCATAAAACAAATTATTTAAATTTGGATTATTTCAAAGAGTTTAGCGAAGAAAATTTTCTTTTCGACAAAATCGTTTACTTAAGCTGAATATTCGTATATATAGTTTTATGGAAAATTTATGTCTATGAGAGGATAGGAAAAAAATTGCATCACCAATGTACAGCTTAAATAAATGATTTCGTCGAAAAGAAAACTTTCTCCGCTGAATTCTCTTTTTCTTATTCAATGACACTATGGGTTATTTTGATTATTTCCAAGAGTTTAGTTTGCTAAATAGATAGATACAAATTCAGAAATAAAAATATAATATAAAAGAACCTACATATTTGGTTTTTTGAATCCATTCATAATATCCAGAATTTCTGATGATAAAGAGAAATCCATTATCTTTATTTAATTGAATAATTTCATTTTCATATTTATAAACTATTAATTGTAAATGCTTTTTAGAAGGATCATGTGTTTTGAATAAACTAACCAGTTTACATATCATATATGATCGAATCTGAGAACAATGAAAATAAATAAATAAATCGGTAAAATAAATGACGTTTTGAAAGGAAGTAAGATTTAAAGAAAATTTCAGGAAATCAATTTCTTTAGAAAACATTAATAAATAATTTTGATATTCCACTTTCTTTATTTACTTTCAGAGAAAATATAAATAAATAAAAACAACAGACACAGTTACCTGGCCATCCTTTTCTATTTCATGATAGAATAGTTACTAATTAGCTTATAATCAGTTTTATTATGTATCTATATGTTACTCATAAATTAATAGTTTATAAAAAATCACTAGTAAGTTGAGATTTGCAGCTGATGATGTAACGATATACATCATGAGTTATTGGTATATTACATTGGTATTACAATAATGTGTCGTAAAGTTTACTACCATGATAAATATATTTGTTAACTGAAAACTATTCTTAAACAATAAATTTATCTAGGTCTTTTGTGTGTTTATTGATAGTGCAGCAATTATCAAACTGGAACAGCAGAGCAATTATGTAAATATCCTTGCTTTCTTTAAGGTGAATTCAACTTTAAATGGTATGTTCTAAAATTTCATGTCATCTCATTAAGATATCAAGACGACGTTGAAAATGTTTCCAATATACTGCTGAAATAAAGTTACCGCCAAAATTTTTGTACTAGTTAGTGGAAATAGTGACCAATATAGAAGTTTTAATGAGATTTGAATGAAAACAAAGCTTTAGTTATATATATATATATATATATATATATATATATATTTTTTTGTATTATTATTATTAGTGGTCTCATTCAGTATTATATTCTTGGTGTAAAACGGAATCTTCAGCACAAATTATTTCAACAGGTTTCTATTTCTTATTTCATGATCGGTCCTTGAGATAAATATTGAGTGGTCACCAGTTAGATATTAGCAGTTCAGGAATCGACATCTGAATAATGTATATTCTTTTCGATGCATATTGTCAGCAACCACAATATCTTTAATTGGGCTGTTATGTAAATTGTACAGTGAAATGTCGTCAACTTTTCACAGACACTCTTGAATAGTTTATGGGACTAATATGCATAAAGATGTGTTAAAACAAACAAGAAAAACAGATAACTTGTTGAAATTTTCTGGTGATAGGAACAGATAACTCAGATATTTTGAGTTACCTTCCTTGTTTAATGAAGCAGTAGTAGAATAACTTATTCAAACCAATCATTCATCTTATCAGAAATTATATCCATTTAAATGTTAACCGAATAACTGTAATGGTTTAGAGAATTTTTTAAATCATTCTTATTGTAAATTTACTATATAACACTTGAAAACATTCTGTATATAAATTGACGTAGATTTCCATAATAATTGAACTAACAATATGGGTTTTTTTTCAACAATATTTTCACATAAATGCATGTTAATAATTGTACTACTCCATAAGAATATACTGTGTTTCTGAAAATATAGTAATATATAGTAAGTACTATTGTAATACTGGCAAAACGTTTCAATTCTTTTTTTTTCCTTATTTTTTTGTTAGTTTATTCACTGATGGCAGAAATATATAAGAATGTTCAAAATACTACCACTTAAACTTCTTCAATGAAGATGTAAAAGTAGGAAAGACAAATGTTAAAATTCATTTTGGCTAGAAATGTTAGGATTAAGGTTAAAAATGAGTATATGCATAAGTGGATTCAAAAATAAATTTAGATGAGAAATATATTGTCAAACGGAATGTTTACTAGTATTAATATGAACAGAAAAGATAAGATTAAAACCAAGATAATGTAATATACGTTCAGTGAGACGTTAAACTTAGCTAATTTTTTGCATGTGAGAAGCGGGTTTTTCCATTCACTATGAGCTGTTCTCTGAAATAAACAAATTCTAAACAAAATTTACTTATGTGCATACTGTGCATGTACAGGTAGTTAATCACTGTTTTATTTGATCCTAAATCAGAGTGAAGTCATTAATTTGTTTGAAAAATCAGTAAAGCTGACTAAAAATCGAGAAACCTATTTACGTATTATCACGTATCAAATTTCTTGATTTTTCTTTCAAACGGTAACCATCAGTTTTATACTCTACACTAGAAATTGTTCTATTTGAAAAACAGACTATTAGGAACTGTTTATTAAAAATGAATGATTCAAGAAAACCCCTGTCCTATACAAATGAGAATATTCTAAATGACTGATTTTTATTTGTTATAATATGCTTGATCTGTATAGATATAAAGGTTTACATGCCTAATCAAATCATTTTTTGATATTTTTGATGTTTCGAGTCATTATTTCAGTTTCGGTTAAATATAAACATTTCATACTGATTCAGCCAACAACATTTGCGAATACGCATATGTTGCATTTTGTCATACTGCTTTCAGTTGGCAAAGTAATAAAAGCTTATGAACAAAGAATAACGACTTAGTCCGCCTATAGGAATTGCTTATTAATGAGTAACTAAGAGTTTGCGGAAGATCAAGTTATTCCAGTATATTTTAATAAAATTTAGATTGGATTGAGATATTTCACACCGACCCTTCATACATTTCACTCATCTATTGTAACATTATTCTGGTTGATTCAGAATTGTTAAGATTGTTGAGAGTGGATTTGGTTATCAGATAAAAATAAAACACAATCTATTATCAACATAAATCTCTTATATTTATCTATTCAAATATGCTCTTATTCCGTTGGCTTTATGTAAATCTCGGTAATAGTTGAGATCATGAGTCAATTGAAACTAGATCAACATAGAAAACCTGGAAGCACTTCCTTTTCGTCTTATTGTGGGACTTCACAGACGTTTGCATCCAAGATCCCGCCCCGCCAGATTCGAAAACAGGATTTATCGGTATCGCGAGCTAACGCTTCTCCTCAAGACCACTGAGCCAACATCGAAAAATGTTAATATCCAACTTCAAATAATCCACGAAATTGAGCGACACATCCACCATTGTCTTCAATGAGTTACTATTTCACAGCAGACCCGGTCGAACTCCAATGGTCAATGATTCTAACTAGAACTCCAGGAAATACCTTCTTTTGTTAAACTTTTCAGTCATTATGAAAGGAACATTGTTTAGTAGTCATAACAACAATCCAATTCAATATTCTTGGCAAAATTAATCACATACTTATTCAAGATTATAACAGATAACTTAAATTATGAAATATATAGAACAGAAAAGAGTCATTTAAGATACTGTTAATTTTCTAGATCTCTTATCTTCATAAATATTAATTATCTCTTAGGTAGAATTAATCATATTTCTTAAACAGTATGTAACATTTCTATGCATTATATGTTCCAAGTATTTTTGTGTTCTTTGTTGTTGTTGTTGGGTTTCTAATCCTATTTAATTAATACAAACATACAGAATTTAAGTCATTTACACTTGTGATTACATAAATATACTCTTACCTTGTTATTTTAACATTATAAACTGTATATAAAATCATATAGATATTTGGTTTCAATGACAAAAAAACATTACAACAACAATAATAAAAATGGTTTTTTGATAGTTTAAATCAGAGACTGATTTTAGTCAGATAACTAATAAAATTCAGAAAGCACTGGATAGTTGTCTCATTCCCATATAAGAAATCTTATCAGAGGACATCATCAACCAATCGATAATCGAACCTAGGACTCACAGACTCGTGGCTAACATGACTGATAGAGTTGAACCATTTCGTGTTTGAGACAATTATCCTTCGCAGGTAATGAAAGTTGGTCATTCAGTATGAGTAATTTATTGAAACTAGACGTGTATACCATTAAATGTCAGCTCAGTGGTCTTAATCTAAAGCGTACGCATACGCTATCGAAGACCCTGGCTTGTGGGTGCATATTATCAGTGATTCCTATGCCATGGCGAAACATCTGTCTAATGTTTCCCGATATTCAGTCGCTATCTAACTCAAATAATTTGATGATGTAAGCCATTAAATTAAACAATGTCCCGAAACCCGTTCATACTAAACATGGTCTTCAAAATGAATGAAGATATAGAAATATAATTAACCGAGTTATAAAATTTTCTCTATCAATAGCTGAGAATACCAGTTGATATTCACTTAATTCATACTCGATATTGGTATCCTAACAGCTGAACAGTAACATCCTGAATTGTTAAAATTCAGGACAATTATTAGTATAAAATTGTTTTGCCGATGAAATGATAATTGGTACAAAGCTTAAATCAATCGCAATAAATTAACTTAAAGTAAACAAATACCCTGATATTACTCAGCCTGATCGGAATTCAATCCATAGTTTAACAAACTGATAATAATAATCTATTTCAACTTCATTTATTATATCTAGTTGCCACACTATTTGAGAGTAAAAAATAGATAAAGAATAACCTTTAAAACTACTCCTCTACAAGTTGACAGTCACAATAATGCACACTGTGGTTCCTATTCTTCTGTTTTACCCAAACTATTTTTCAATTTGGACCATAGGCCAATTGACTTTAGAACACTATTGAAAACCTGGGAGCACTGGATGGTCGTTTCGTTCTAGTATGAGACTATTCAGCAGTGCACATCTATAATTCCGCGCTCGGGGTTCGAACTCAAAATGTTTGGACTCGCGTGCCCAAGTGCCCAAACTTTGGACCACCAAACCGACATCCGACGGCGATAGTGTCTAACTTCAAACAATCCACGAAGTTGTGCGACCACCTTTCATTCTACTGAGATAGATACCTGTCTCTACTCAACACGGATTAGCTCCACTGGTCATGACTTTTCACTAGAACTTGTCACTGCCTTAAAATTATCAAAATGCGTGATCAAACTCATAAAAAAGTCCTTACTTATCCCAGTCTTATCTAGTTACAAAATTAAATCTTTATTTTAGGATCTGAAGAAGATGTCTGTTGACTGGTTCAGCTACATATTTTTCAATGTACAGTCGTGACTAGACACTAACAGATTATCAAAATTAATGAAGTAAGTTATTTTGTAGCTGCGAAATTCATTTTCTTTTAAATTAGTGTGTTGTCTCTGATCAGAATGATGGTGAACATTTTGAAATAGAAAAACTGTTAGCGAGATCAAGAAAACTCCTCGAAAAAAGCCAAAAAGGCTTTAAAAACGCTGAGAAGCATCTTATCCAATCAGCATTCACTAGAAGTCTTGCCAGGAACATCTAGAAAGTGAAACATTAAATGTCGAGTTTCTGATTGGATGATTACCTATACTCTATTCAGTAGCGTTATATAATTTTCCGGAAACTCAAGACCATCAAAAATACTATAAAAACCCTAGATTTTTTGTAAATGAAAAAAACTTGGAGTGAAGCATTCCTCCTATATTTAGCTCCTTTTTTCTCGTGTTCAAGTCACTGTGTAGCTTGGAGGTTAATGAAAGAGATAAGGAACCGAATCTAGCGTTCAATTAGAAGAATTATGAAAAACATCTTAGGTACAATTAGTCATTAGTAACAGGTATAAATCACTGGACATAAATTAACTATAAAGGTCTGTCACATTTAAATGTATACTAATATCCAATATTCGAATAATAAAATATGCGAGTGTTTAAATATCAATTTCATGCTTACACAACATCTTTGACATTTAATATGTTATATAAAAAGCAACTCTTAAAATGTTTATTTCATTAAGCACTTTCCAATAATGATATGGTTCACACTTGTTAACAAAACTGGTAATCTGTTTCCAAATATCATCACTTCCTGTTTCTTTTTCACTGCCAAAACTGATTTATATTCTAAAGCCCCAACCAACAGATTTTTTTGAACAACAATAGAAAAACTGTAAATGTTAATGTTAATCAATAATTTATAGGACAGAACAATAATTCTCTGTTAATTACCGATAATTTTAGTTTCATTTCAGATATTTAAAAATATCTGACCAAACGTAGTTTTTAAAAAAATATTTCAGGACTGATAGATCCTGGATTCGAATCTCGCGTGGCGGGATCTTGGATGAGTACTACTATGGAGTCCTATACAAGTATGAAAAGTTCGTCGTCCAGTACTTCCAGGTTTTCCATGGTGGCCTACCTTCAATCAACTCATGAATTCAACTATTAAATTTCTATAATATCCACAAAAATCCCTTCTGATATTGATCAACATATGCTCACTATTGACAAGCTTCAAGAGGTATTTCCTGGAGTTCTGGTGGGAAGCAGTGACCAGTGGAGTTCAACTGGGTCTGATATGAGATAGTAATTCACTGAAAACAATGATGGACAATGTCGCGATTTCATGGATTGGTTGCATTTAGACATTAACATCGTTGGATATCGGCTCAATGGTCTCGAGGTTAAGCCTTCGCGTGCAAGACCGTTAGGTCCCTTATTCGAATCTGGCGGGGCAGGATCGTGAGTGCACACTTCCGAGAAGTCCCATACTAAGATGAAACTTTCATCCAGCGCTTCTAGGTTTTCAATGATGATCTACTTTTAATTGACTCATGAGTTCAATAATTAAATTCTTTCAATTTTCTTAAAAATTTAGAAGTTTAAACAAAAAAACAACAAAATCTATATTGAAATCTATAAAACTTACTTGAATATCTAAAGATTTATTTAAAATCTTCATGATTTTTTTCATTTTTCCATCCGTTAAACATTTAATATACGAATTAAAAATTGTAATTCTTAATTCATTTGATTCAGTAGTATTCAAAAATACATTCCATAGAATATTCTGGTAATTTTTGTTTTCATATAAAGAGAGAGGGGAAAAGAAGAGAAAACAAAACGACAGATATTTAAGCTAAAACATAACTGAGTAGTTTGTTTGTTTGTTTGTTTGTATTTTCATGCATTATTTAATCAAGAGAAAAAAATGAATCCGCTCCAGAAAATTATTTTGTCAAAAATAACTTGACCCCCTATTTTAATATATATTTTACTGATTATTTCATAGAAAATAATAATACTAATACTAGTAATAATAATAATGTTGAATCTATGTGAATCATATAAAAAAACGAAACACTTAAAAGAATTATGATGAGCTCACAGTTTTTCATCAACTAAAATATTAATTATTTTCGATTGACGAACGGGATATTGAGTTATTTCAATTGAACATAATATACTTTATATAAATTGAAAGTAATAAATTTTATCAAAAGTGATGTCACATTATACGGCAAGTTTTATTCATTGTTTATTAAGACATTTCATATCAATTAACAGCTGTCTACGCAAAATACTTCAGGTCTGTTGGCCAGACACTATTAGCAACAACCTACTGTGCGAGAGAACAAACCAGTTCCCAGCGGAGGAAGAAATCAGGAAGAAGCGCTGGAAGTGGATAGGACACACGCTGAGGGAAGCACCGACCTGCGTCACAAGACAAGCCCTCACATGGCATCCTCAAGGCCAAAGAGGAGGAAGAAGACCAAACAACACATTACGCCGAGAAATGGAGATAGACATGAGAGAAATGAACAAGAATTGGATGGGACTAGCAAAGAAGGCCCAGGACAGAGTGGATTGGAGAATGCTGGTCGGCGGCCTATGCTCCATTGGGAGTAACAAGCGTAAGTAAGTAATAAATAATTGAGTTGTGCTGTGGTTTGATTGAAGCCTAAGCAATTTAATAGTTGAATTCGTGAGTCGAATAAAGTTAGACCATTATGGAAAACCTGGAAAAACTGGATGGCCGTTATTGTCTTATTGTAAAGTAAACGCTCGCACGTGAGATCCATCGGTCCTGTGTTCGAATCTGGCGAGGCGGGATAGGGGATACATTTTGCTGAAGAGTCACATACTGGGACAAAATGGCTATCCAGTGCTTCCAGGTTTTCCATGGTGGTCTAACTTCAATTTACGCATCAACTCGACTATTAAATTACTATAATATCCATTAACCCCCTATCTGATCATAAATTTTTATTATCAATCCAATGAACATTAAATATTCGTTTATGAAAACACCATGTTGAATAACAGAAAAAGGTATTCGAAAGAAAAATTGTGTAAAGAAAATTAACAACAACAAAAAAACATTAGTAGTTAAAATAAACTTACATCTACATTTTGTTCACATCGAAAATGATCAATTATTTGCCCAAAATTTAATCGTAAATCATCATTATATTCCATTTTATAATCAATTAAAATTTTTTGAAAAAGGGAAATGATTTTTTGAGAAGATAAAATTTTACCAATGTTTGCAATAGTCTGGAGGGTTTTTAATGACTATATTGGTAATGAAAAATAATCAAAAAATAAAATAAAAATTTATCCGTAAAAGTTTTTGTTAAGTTCATGAGTCAATTTAAACGAGACCATTATGAAAAATATGGGAGCATTGGACAGCCGTTTCGTCTCAATGTGGGACTTCTCAGCACTGCGCATCCACGATCCTACTAGGCGAGATTCGAACGCAGGACTTTTCAGTCACGAGCGCAAGCGCTTAATCTCTAGGCCACTAAGCCGTATCTGTTGTGATATAGTAATTCACTGAAGGCAATAGGTGGATGGTGACTCAATTTCGTGGATTGGTTGGAGTTAAACAGTAACACAGTTGGATGCTGGCTCAGTGATCTGTCTGTTAAGCGTTCGCGTGCGAGACCGATAGGTCCTGCGTTCGAATGCCGTGTGCATTGTTGAGGAGTCCCACATTAGGACGAAAAGACTATTTAGTGCTCCGAGGTCTAACTTCAATTGACCCATGAAGTAAATCTCTAAATTACCATAATATCCACAAAACCCTTTTCTGGTAAAAAATGTTTTGCAGTTAAATGAGAGAAAAATATTTATTTTAAGATATTGTCATCATGTTTTTATGATATAAATTAAATTTACTAATCAAAAGTCATTGTAAAGTTTAAATCTAAATGCATTTTTCTAGAAAACACGATATGATCGTACATTTATTAATAAGTTCAGTGTTTGTAAATGTTGAAATATTTAGAATGTATAGTATGTATACCTGACTTAGTTTTTAGGTCAGTTAACCTTTCATTATAAGTGGTAGTAATAACTTTTAGCAGTGAAAAGAGGAAGAAAAAGAAATCAGTAATTAGTTATCAGATTTAATATCTGAAAGTTGAGGTCATTCATTATGTTTTCTATGTTCATGTACTTCATTAAATATAGCATCTTCAACCATTTTCTCCTTCATTTAATGTTATATTATGAGTGTGTAATTTTCAACAAACTCTTCATTACATCTACGGTTATCAACAATTAACTTCTATGAACATGTTAGTATACCTTAGCTTGATGCATAGGATTATAGTTACGAATAAATTTTTAGTCCATATATGAAAAAACTATCCATTATGTAAATAAATTTTAAAAATGAAACCTAATGAATGGAAAAATAAATGGTCAAATTCAGTAATTACATAACATATTACTTAGAAAATTTCACCATTATTTTATTAATAAAACCTTTTCAAATGTTAAAAATACTTTGTACCTAATTGACTATAATCATAGTTTTTCTCAATCCAAATTACTCATTAAAACCTAGTAAAACTTCTCCATTTTTTTAGGTCAAATAAGAAAACTTTATTGCTTTCACTACTTTTTGTTATTTTGGAATTTCGCTAATTGAAAATTTAACTATGTTTAAGGTGATAGTCAATTTAAAAGAACACACATGAATCTCAGAGATTAATGTAAAGGAACTTTTAATTTCATACAATTATTAAGTTACGTTTAACCATAGCAGCCTTTAAACAATACAAACTGAAATGATTTGTACAAATATTTGCCTTGTGATTATTTTTAAACTAATTATCCCATACTACACACAAATTCTGATCATCGAGTGAAGTTTTAATTTATAAACTCCCCCTAACCATCTCAAATTATATTTATCTGTAGTGCCAATTGTAATGTCATCGAAAAGATAAATATTCCGTTCTTAGCTTATACGATTAACATGACCAAACTAATGACGTTCCGATTGGTGTTTTTTCCTCTTAAGTCCAGAACACCAATCTCCGACTTCGTGATATGAATCACATATTTCAAACATAATGAGTTTATATACAAACAAATCAGACCACATCACATCATAATATAGAAAATAACATGTACAAAATCTAACAAAAAGTGTCTATGATCGTAGAAGATCGTGACTAATAAATTGGGAATATCTCGAAAATAGTAAATCGTATGATAATAATCAATCGGTCCAATAAAAGCTTATAATAAAGGGAATATGAATATACATATAATATAATTACGTAATAGTCATATAATATTAGTTTATGATTAATTATCAGAGGGGGTTTTGTGAAGATTTTAGAAAGTTCACTGGTTGGAATCATGAGTCATTTGAAGCTAGACCACCATGGAAAACGTGAGAGCACTGAACGGACGTTTCGTCCTAGTATGGCACTCCTCAGCAGTGCGCATCCACGATTCCGCACCTCGCGAGATTAGAATCCAGGACCTATGATTCTCGCGCCAGGCGCTTAACCAACTAGACCACTGAGCCGGCATCCAACGGATGTCACAAAAGACCTGGTTGAACTCCACTGGTCACTGCTTCTAACTAGAACTCCAGGAGTATAAACAATTTCTAACGTTTATCATCTATTTATTCTCGTTCATATAAAACAATAAAGATTTTATCTGATAAAAATTTCTAAACTTATTACGTTATCATAGAAAATCAAAAAGAGTAAAGTTTTCTTTTCGATATTATTTCTTAAAATTATATAATTACATTTATGCTTATTTCACATAGAATAGTATATATTAAATCACTAATTTATTATTACGTCATTAACAAGTTTAACAAAATTTAGTTAAACATTTCAAATGTCGAATAATAATCACACATAGATTAACTAAATATTAATACAATACGAATTAAATGAAAATCACACAAAAGAAATGTAAAATATTGTTGTTGCCTAGGTGATTATATGTAAAAATGATTTTTTTTAAAAAAAGGGTTACACTAAATTATACTCTTAAAATAATCTTGTTTATAGAAATAAAAACTAGTATGTATTCTGAAGATATAAGGGGTATGAAATGATAAGAATTCATTTCCTTTCATAATGTTTTGTTGTTGTTGTTCTTTTTACTGCATCAACAAAACTAAATAACAATCAGTGTTAGAATGTCATTTATTAAGGATAATTCACATGTATTGTATAGATAATAATCTGATTTCGGAACTAATTAAACCTCTTCAACATGTAACATGATCAAACATTATTTTTTCCTCCTCTTTAAATAGCTAATTAAAACAAACATGAAATAAAATTTTCTTCCCCTAAAGATGTTATCGGGTTTTTTTTTATAATTGAAAACTGAAACAACAAACTTATGATTAATAGCAGTATACTTATTAGGTATTTTGTTAATTAATAGGTGATATGAATGTTTTTACATTATGAATGTTATGATGTTTGTGTTTTGATGAATAACTTCGATAAATTTTATACTTCTTTTTTTTCTTAACAATATATAATTATAAATGATAAGGAAGAATGAAATCGTTGAATAAGTTGAATATCACCATGCTGATGGACAGAATGGTTTATAACTATGTGAAAATATGAACCTTAGGAATATTCTATATTCGATAACGTTAGTTACAAATGTTATTGGCGGCCTGCTTGAATATCTAGGCTACCTGTTCCTACCACCTGGATATTTCAACAAGTTATCTCTTTTCTTGTTTGTTTTAACATATCATTATGCTTTTTGGTCGCACAACCTATTCAGGTGTGTTTTTGAAAAGTTCATGACATTTCACTGTACAAATTACAAAAGAGCTCAATCATAGATACCGTAGTTGCTGGCAATATGCATAGAAAAGAATATACATTATTCAGATGTCGATTCCTGAACTGCTAACATGTAACTGGTAACCACTCGTAAGGGTCGACCAAGAACTAAGGAAACGTGTTGGAATACTTTGTGCTGATAATTATATATTGTACCGAAAATATAATATTGATTAAAGCCAATAATAACAATATTTATTGTTATTTTACATTGACAATAGAAATAAATGATAATTAATTTCACTAGAATGAGGATTCGTAAAGATTGTGGTGATCATTAACAAAGCAAAAAGTAGTATGTCGATCATATTCATTGAAAACCGAATTACTATAATCACATCGGTCACTACTTCTCACTAAAACTCTAGTAAATTCATTTTGGAGCTAGTTTAATCCGTGTCATGTAGTGACAGTTATCCACTTCAGTTAATTGACGAAGGGTTGCATAAGACCATGGATCGACTGAAGCTAGACATTGATAACATTGGATGCCGATTCAGCGGTCTAGATGTTGAGTATTCGCTAGCGATACCGAATATCCTTAGTTCCAGTTTGGTGTGCGCGATCGCGGATGCGCACTGTTGAGAAGTCCCATACTTGGACGAAACTGCAGTCGACTGCTTCCGTTTTCCGTGGTAGTCCAACTTAGATCGACTCATTAGTTCAACTACTAAGATGATCGATTTGTTAATCAACAAATAAGGATTTTTTTCAAAAATTTAATTGAGTGACGTCAAGATCAAAAACATATGGAAAATATGAACAAAAGAAAAGAACATATAATAAGAGTCCCAACAAATCATAGTAAAGTAATATTGCATGAGAGATTAATGGCATTTTAAATGATTACCTTTGTGTTGTCTTCTAAATCAACTGCATTTTCAATAATGTCTGCCATTTCTTTGATTATTTGAGATTTCATACATGATGGATGATTTTCACAAAAACGCTTTATATTTGAACTGACATAATAAACTGTATGATTGTATAAATCATCTGTTAACAAGCTCTAAGAACAAAAGATATATGAAATGAATTCAATAGTCATCCTGAATAATATTGATGTATAAAAGTATTATCGAAATAAATATTTAATTGTTAATTATTTATAGAAGTACAATAAGGTGAGATGAATGGAGGTTACATGTAATCAACAAATATACATAGTTACATATAGAAAGAGTAGGGTTTACTTCCATCGGAATCAAATAATATTAATTACAAGTTGAAATCGTATTGTGTGGTTATAATTACCGTTGACACACGTTTACTCTGTATAACAAATCAATCTGTGTTTTAATAAAATTACTGGCTCAAGAAGTTGGGTAGTTCAATAAACACACAGAAATTATTAGAGTTATATAAATAAGCTTTGAGAATAGATCCAAGAAACTAATTGTTTGAGATTAAGAAAATGATAAATGTGTGCATATGCGCTGTAGCAAACGGTTTTTACTGAATATGAATGACATTCTACTTGGTGTTTTGGTACTGAATACGTGCTTACTATTTGAAAGTAACGGCTAAATATCGTCGAATTTTTAAATATTTTCCAGTTTTTTATAGTGTGTTTGACTCTTCATTGATATACCCAACGTTACCTTATTAATGCGTAGTATTAATTTCAGTACACCGCCTTAGGTTACATCAGTTATTGCAAAAGTAGATAAATCCTAATCTAGGGAACTTTGACAATGTTCCATATTTGTATCACCAACATATTAAAATATTTAAAATCATCTTTCTTTAATAGTTTTCCACGCATTTTATAGTCATACAGTAGTCAAATTGGCTATTGACAATTCTGATGGCATGTACTCGATGATAATATCAAAATGTCCACTCCACAATTATGTAACACGCCTATTCATTACAAAGCCTCGAATAGTTCTGTTTAATAACATCAATACCAGTATTGCTTAGAGTATTTACGCATTATTATACAAATGAATTGACTTCTAACTACCTTTTAGTAGAAGGTGACTTGTCAAAATCCTACTTTCTAGATCAACAAAATATATATTTTACAGCTGACACACGAAACGCCCACCTCAATCTTCATGTAGCTAAACCTAGTATTTGGACAAAATGCAAGGAACAAAGTCTCACACGGTTGTACCGAAACTTTTATAAGTTGAATTCGCAAAATATAACTTCTTATCACTTTTCCGATGGACAAGATGGACTACTAGGTTACGTACCATTAACTCAACATCAACAGGCAGGTAACCTTCTTAACTATCCACTAACTCAATTTCAGCAAATATGTTCACGTTACCTAAATAATGATTAACATTTAGAGATCTCTGGTCCATCTTGTACTACAGGTTGTTCAATTCCAAACCCATACGATCAAACACTCATACTAAACTATAGTTCAGTCACCTCTAAAATACATAACATCGATAACAAAGTTCTCGTTGTTTACACTCCATATTTCCTTTTTAAACTAATTGCTTATCAATTACCGTTCACTCATAAATAAGATTTCAGCCTTATGAACCTTAGCTTTACTATCCAAACCTTTTTTTCATACTTTTCACTGAAACGTGGTGCTCTCCCTCAATGGTTGATTCGGAATTAAATATCCAGAACTACCAGTTCTATCTCTGTAATAGAGAAATTAAACTTTTGGGTGGCTGTCTTATATATGCCTTGGATTCCCCGACAACTAGTAAGGTTGATAATGGTGTCTTGGAAAGTTTATTTGAATCGGTCTAAATATCAGTCAACACTCCGAATCACAATCTTCTCCTGGGATGTACATACAGAGTCACGGATACTTTGGACAATGTGAATGATCTTAATGTTAATGCCTTTATACATGCAGCTCATCTAAACTTCAATGCTGAGGTTAATAAAGAAGATTTCAGTTACATTGAAATACCAGCAGTTGTCACTCATGTAATGATGAGTTCTTACCAACAATTAACGTGCACTCCTGGTCACAGTAAGTTCGCAACCCGACAATGCATGATAACACAAGTGATTTAATATTTTTTAGAGTTATCATGCCACTATCTATACATGAATGCAATGAAATTGAAGGCTTTGTCCATAAACTAGCAATTGGTGCCCTCTGTATCTGTCCCTCTTATAACCATCTCATTCAATAAACCAGTCAACATAGAGACTATAAGCATGCTACCTAGGACCTCCTAAACTGCTTGGTGAAAGTTTCAGAGTGGGATTCCTCATCCCCAAGTAATAGTCTAGTGAATGCCATTCACACATTCTATCTGATCACTAACTCCTGTTTAGATTCCTGTACAACTCCGAAAACTTACAGGTTAAGAAAGCCTAATGAAATATTTGTACCAGTTAAATATCGTAATAAATTAAATGTGCTTGAACTTGTAAGTATATTCTATTCCACAAGTGAGATTAAACGAACTTCAAGGGTCCGATAGTTTTTATTGATGAATCCGCTAAGTGAACCTCTCTGCCTTCTGTTACATTACACTTACACCGTCCCTAGCAACCTTAACTAATTTGAGATAGTGACTTATTGATGACAATGGTGGATGTGTCGTTCAATTTCGTAAATTAGTTGAAGTTAGATATTAACACCGTTTGTTGCGTGGCTCAGTGGTCTAGTTGGTTCAGCGCCTGGCGCGAGATTGATAGGTCCTGGGTTCGAATTCAGTAGCCAATACTTATTCAGTTCCCACAATTAAGCATAGTTAATGCATAATAATTTGAGAACAGATTATCAATGCATCATTTTCAACCATAACGCACAGAGATCTTCCAGTATGATTATGATAACTGAAAAGTGCTTGATGTTTAAAAGTATTTGTACAGACTATTTTAATATAGTTTAATTTAGAATTAACAAACAAGTAAAATTTACCTTGATCTCTTTCATGAACTCGATGGTTGGTTTCTTTACTATACTAAGATAGTTAATCCATTTAAGTTGTTTATATTCGTTTTTTGCGTTAACAATAAAATGATTTATGATAAAGATTATCGATGATTCAGTTTGAACCTCCAACATAACATTTTCAAGAAAATTTCTGTAAAGTAAACCAGAATTCACATAAATAAAAATATATTGACACTGTATTCTGTACCCATGTAGAACATAAAGTATTTTCTTCTAACAAGTTTTGTATTTGAACAGTCTCATGAATTACGGTTCAAAGAGAAGTGAAATACAAAAAATTATTGATAAACAAGAATGGTTTGGACATATTATTATTACGAAATTAATAGTCGTTTACCTTGATTACTTTATCACTGAAACACTATTATCTAGTGAATAAAATGGATTAATCCATCAGTTTATCAATATATTTTGAAAATGATCAGTCTAAACGATATATGTTTCCATGGTTTAATACTAATACTAATACTAACACTATTACTACTACTAATAATAATACAATATTAAAATTTCACTAACAACATATACTTTGTAGTTACTAAATATATCAAATGAAATAAAATTATTGTCTCAAAATAAATTTCAGAGATTATAATAGATTAGAAATCTCGATATTCTTCAGTTAGCCATATACAACTTCATTCTGACTATCACGTTTATAAACAAACTATAAGCTTCAATACTTATACCAATCACTGATGTATCTTACAGTTGAACTAAACTAGAAATATTTAAATTTAATTGTCTTAAAAGTGAATTTTTATTTTCTAAAGTTTCATTTAGTTGATGTTCTTTTTACAACAACGATTTTAAATTTCTGAAGAAAAGTTTGACAGTTAAAGTTCTTGTAGTATATGTGTAATATATATTGATCATTGTATGTAATAGAAAATGTGTGCAATGATTCTTGTAACTATGTTGTTAATGTAAATTGTAAAACCTATTTTGTTAATGACCATACATAATTTATCCATTCCTATGCTTTTTTTGTGGTCGTTAAACTGGTGTTCATTAGTGAATAGTACTGTCTTTAGTGGATTTTTCATTTACTAATATACTTCATAACATTAACGTCACCTTATAACTTAGTTTTATTCTAATTAGGTAACATGATATGTGTTATCCTTGTTTGTCATCCACGTGTTAGTTAATATTTTGTGACAAGACAACCAAGTGCTACAGTGTATGTTTTCTTAACGATTTTATTATCATCATAATAGTAGCACGTAACCAGGTCAATTGTCAAGACCTAAGAAATATAATGTGTATTGAAAGAACCATAACATATGAACAGGCACAAATAAATATGACAATCTGTTAACTAAAGTAATCGGCAAGTACTAAATTAAGATACATATTTGTCACGAAACGAATAAACAAGGACAAAATTTATATTATAATAATATTCATACAAAGCTATAATAAAAAAAATTGAAAACAAATATTTCTTGATTAGGTCGAAGTAAGAAATTAACATAGTTGGATGCGGCGCAGAGGTCACCACGGATGACAATGGTGAATGTGTCGCTCAGTTTCATGAATTAGTTGAAGTTAGACATTGACACCGTTGGATGCGGGCCGGCTCAGTGGTCTAGAGGTTAAGCGTTCGCTCGCGATAACGACAGGTCCTGTGTTGGAATCTGTCGGGGCGGGTTCGTGAATGCGCACTGCTGAGGAATCTCATACTAGGACGACATGGTCGTCCAGTGCTTCCAGGTTTCCCATGTTGTGTATCTTTAATTGATTCATGATCCCAACTCTTGAGATTGCTATAATATCCACAATAACCTTCTTTTGATATTAAATATTTCTTCGTTTTTTTTGTTTGTTTTATCGAATGTCTGAATAAGAACTTTTACATTTAAATATTCATTTATTTGTATTAACAAAGAAATGTACTCACCTAATTTCTCTCGTTTGAATACTTTCTTCCCATGAATTGTATACTATTTTCCATTGTTCATATGTTAAACACTTTAATTGTTCAATAAAATAACTGAATTTCTCAGGTGTGTTCATTATCAAATTAATATAATTATGATTTGTGATATTATTTTCTATAAGTAAATTATTAACCAATAATGTGTGATTTTTATCGGGTACTTCAAAATCCGTTTCAGATATTCCATCAACTAAAAAATTAAGGCATAAACAGATGACCAAATAAAGTCTCATTTGTTTAGAAGTGATGAATTGTTCGAAATTAGGATCTTAAGATCTTTGATCTGAGTTTTTTAAAGAATTTTTTAAATACAAATGTACTGGTAATCTCTATGTTTTATTGCTTCGGATATCATTTTAGTCGTATTCAGTAATAATCCTTCATCTAAAGTGTCAAATGTTCACCTTAATTTTGTTGTTGTTTGAATCTTCCTGTTAATAATTAAAACTATAAATGATCAGTCTCCTTTCGGAATATAAAAAATATTAGCATGTTTCCTCGATATTGACGGATGCAGCCACACTGCGTTTAAAATTACTTGGGAGGGATTAGCAATACCATTGCAATCCTCACATGATGTACATATGTCAAAAGAGACTGATTAACTGCTGTTTATAATATTATCGACAAGGTTCAAATAACGATTTAAAATAAATTAGAATTCACTACGTTGTATAAGCCAGTGGATGTTTGGATATGTCCTGTATTACTTTGAAAAGAAAGATATTGATATCAAGTTTCAATATGAACATCGATACTGAGACTCGAGTACATTCAGCTGACAATCTTAAAATAAGGAGCAAAAGCTGTTTTGGATTCCCCTGTTACCCATTATTTAAGTTTACCACATTTACTTTATAACTCCATCTTTATAAATGAGGTATAACACTGATTAGGATTTTACAAAACTATTTGAATAAACGAATCTATTCTAAATAATAAAAAGATTCACATAGAAAAAGTTGATTTCGTCAAAATATAATTACATTATCAATTATTTTAATAAGTTGTGAGAAAAGTATTTCACAAACAATACTCTTATAATTTACTTTATTTATAATCTACTGAAACACTAGATTAATTAAGCCTACCATTAAACGATTCCTCACTTTTAAAAAGTGATGTGTTCTACAACAAAATTGATTGAAAAAATATGTATTTCATTTTCGCTGTAACTAGTGATTTTAGTCTTTTTTCTAAATGTACTTACTTACGCCTGTGACCCCTAGTGGAGCATAGGCCACCGACTAGTATTCTCCAACCTACTCTGTCCTGGGCCTTCTTTTCTAGTTCTATCCAATTGTTGTTTATTCTTCTCACGTCTGTCTACATTTCTCGGTGTATTATGTTGTTTGGTCTTCTTCTCCTTTGGCCTTGAGGATTCCATGTAGGGGCTTGTCTTGTGATGCAGTTAGATGCTTTCCTTAATGTGTATCCTGTCTACTTCCATCGCTTCTTCCTGATTTCTTCCTCCGCTGGGATCTGTTTAGTACTCTCCCACAGTAGGTTGTTGCTAATAGTGTCTGGCTAACGGATCCAAATTATTTTGCGTAGACAACTGTTAATAAACACTTGTATCCTCTGGATGATTGCTTTCGTAGTTCGCCAAATTTCTGTCCGATACAATAGAACTGTCAAGACATTTATGTTGGTTGACAGTTGTTTTGAGTTCTAGATGTCATAGAATTCCGCAAAGTAATTTCATGCTGAGAAGGCATATTTTGGTACAAATATATATATATGATCGCAATATATTAAACTTTTCTAATTCTATAGACTTGTAATTGTATACTTCTCTATTGATCCATTTAAGTTGTTTGTATTTCTACTTTTATGAGAAATGAATGTTTTAAATTATGTTTATTAGTAATATAGTAATTTGAAGTTTATTCTGATCTTTTGATAATCTATTACTTTTATATATAATAACGATGAACAATAACAGAATCTGGCTTTTCAATCTAATGGAATTCTATGATATAAAACTTCGTCCATGAGAATTAGTTTGATACGTCCTAACAATAGCTGAATATATTATTAATATATTTACTTTTTTCAATATTAAAATTTACTCTTGTTTTTTCATCGTTAGAAATAATGGATACAACCTTTTGTTTCGATATTAATCATTAATGTATGAATAGACTTTTTAACTTCTCCTACGTTTATTCAGCTCAAGTTTTTACATCAATGTAGCAAAAAGAATACAGTCGAAAACAGTAACACCATGTTTTAATTGATATTATTTTCTATAATTGATGTTTTAAGTATTAGTTATTGGGAAAATAAAATATTTGCAAGTGATGTCTATCAGTAATTGAATTCTGTTAGTTTTGCAAAAACAAAAAGAGATCTTGGACAATTATTTCGTCGTAGCATTGAATTCCATAGATGTTGACTATCAAGATATTTCTGCGAAATGTTTTCGATTTGAATTATTTCAAGTTTGAAAATCATGTGTTACTTTATTGAACAAGAACACGAGGGGTGATCACCAAATATATTTCAGCATAAAATTACAGAACATCTCATTAAAATCTCAGAACCATATAGTAAATAGTTAATTTGCAAAATGTCAATCAATCGTCTCAAACTTCACTGTTCCTTTGCAAATATCAGTCCATTGTCTCAGATTTCATTGTTCATGCATTTTCATACAAATCGCGTCCCGTTTTTGTTCTTTCCTTATCGATCTTCTGCTGAAATAATTCTATGCCTGACAACCGTTATATACTACTTATATGGATATATGTATCCCACACCACATCACTACTTAAAACCACTGAAAAACAAAAAATTGTTTACTGATTCGAAATTTCTCAACAGTAATTTCAATTAATTTAAAAAGTCATAAAACTTCGTTATTTTTCGTGATCCATTATCTGACTACACTTTGATCGTTTCTGACTGCTATCGAAATGCATATGTCGCCAATCCTCGTATATATTATTATCGACTTATTCCGCTTTAGTGTATGACGGAATTAAATAAGCCAAATACAAGAATGAAGTTTTGAGTACGTATATTTTGTACACTCATTGATCTGGACAGACAATTAGAGGAACGAAGCGAATGAACCAAAGAGAAAAGAGCAAAGTGAAATGACGTGCGGTGGAGATGGCATGTGAGCCAACTAAACCGAGTGTTAATATTTATATTCACACAAAAATAAGCTACAGACATATGATGTGTAGGATAAAATGTACACACACATATGCCCACATATAAAAACAGTCAGGGTTGATAAATGAATAATTACCAAAGTCGAAACGTGAATCAAGAAGAATAAATAGATTGGCGTGTCCAGAAGCTAGAATAAGTTACATGGGCTTAACATAGTAACCGACACTACAATTTCGCTTTCAAAGTAAACTTTTGAATTGCATGTCTAATTTCATTTTTACGATTTAAGTAGGTAAAGTGAAATTTACTACAAATATTTAACAATAATATGTTAAAGTGTGAAATAATCAAGTATTAATGGGTTTATATTTCGTTTAAATTGTCGAAATATAGTACAATGAAAAACAATTCAAAAGATACATAAGTTGTGCGACACGTTTTTTAGAAAGATTATTAAACATTTGGAATAAATTCACTAATGTAGAAAAAGATAAGTTCAATATTCAACTGATAGACCAATTAAAAATAAGGTAGCTGTTCATGAGTTTCTCCTAAAACAAACAAACACTGATGGATAGGTTACGTTTTACCAAACTTTAAGTAACATCTACAAATACATAGTTACAAAATTACCTAAAATTCATAAACATGCAAACACTCGAGAATAAGAGACATGTATTTCAAATTATCCTAGAAGCTTCAAATATTTCAAATCAATAACCAAATTTTGTAAAATAACCCAGATTATGAAAATTGAAGCGTGCAACAACATCTTGACTTTATTCAAAACATCAGCATGTATTCTCTTAATATCTTTAGCATCACTTAAAGTTCACTTATATATTCCCAAGTATAATTAGTCGTGCGATTAAGTATTCCTTTTGAACAGTTACAATGTATTTTTACACTCTAACCAAAACTCTTACATTAAACCTTAACTCCCAACCCTAAGTCATCATTCAAAATTCTAACATTAATCATTTATTTCTATAACCTATATTCTGACCAGGTAAAAATTGATTTCACCTTTCAAAGTCTTCTAACGAGTACACGATAGTCTTCAGCAAAGTATATCTTTACTGCTCACTTAGCGAATTATATATATATATATATATATATATATATATATATATATATATATATATATATATATATATAAGCGTATTTGTATTTGATATATTACATGAAATATACTCATGTAAATTTAGTTTCTTAGGGATATTGAAAAGATCTAAGCTTGTTAGATACATTTTTATTGCATACAACGATTGTTTGTCTTTTTTTGAGAAATTTCTAAAACAAAATTGGTACTCTGACGTATATAATGCAAGAAAAATGCTAATAAATAAACTATGAATGAGATGGTGGTTTTTTTTTCTTTGTCTTTAATTGAATGCATGAGTTAAGCAACAACAACAACAAAAACCAACAAGAAGAAGAAAGAAATGAACTAGACATTTTGTTAACGTCTACTTATAATTTTATTGTCTATTGTCGATTGAAAAACAAAGAACTTATTATATGAATAAATTGATATCCGACTAAATATCAGTATGAAATTCAACTACATACAATGTTATCATAACTGCGTAAATATGTTCTATTTCTAGAAGTTTATAATATTATGTAACTTTGATTAAATAAATGGGACATTGTTAGTGTGGACCATAAAGTTTCATCATTATACAATTACTAATAATATATTTTTTGCTTGTTTCAAAACCAAGATAAAACAAATGCATAAGAACCCTACTCGCGGGATCGTAGATGTGCATTGCTAGGGGAGTACCACAATAGGGTGAAATGGTTGTCCAGTGATTTCAGGTGGTTCAACATCAATAGGTTCATGATCTCAATCAAAAACATAAGAATATTAATATTAAAACAACAATCTATTGTGAATAATTAGTTTTTGTGATGTTACTATCAGACAAACAATCAATGCCAATGCATTTAGTCAATTTTCTATATAATGAACTACTTATGAACAAATTAAATATGATGGAATAGTTAGGATTTTTTCCATACAATTATTGGGTAATACTATTTTTGTAAATACATCTAGATAATTAACTAAAGTAAACTAAATAGTCACTTGTATAACATCATGTTTTGAAGGTAGATTTTTTTCAAAAGCCAATGTCCACCAAAGAAGAAATGTAAATTAATAAATAGTGTAAAGTTTATACTTTTACAAAGACAGTTAGTTTCGTGGATTGGTTGAAGTTAGACATTAACACAGTTGGATGCCAGATCAGTGGTCTAATTGTAAAGCGCTCGCGAGCGAGACTGATAAGTCCTGTATTCAGATCTGGCGAGGCGGGATCGTGGATGGGCACTGCTGAGGAGTCGCACAATAGGACGAAACGGCCGTTCAGTGCTTCCAGGTTTTCCATGGTGGTCTAGCTTCAATTGACTCATGATTTCAAACAATAGATAATAGCCGATAGATTTAAGATTGATAATTATAGTGAATAAGGTATTTCATAAAGATAAAAAAACTCTTGGAAATTCAAAGCAATTAAGTCCGATTGATAAATTTCGATAGTGTAATAAGATGACGAAGATTATCAGAATTATGTGTTAGATTGGCACAATACATTTCGAACAATCTGATCACACGTAATATACTTGTTAAGAACATTTATATATAAAAATAAAAGGTCAACTAGACTAGAAATGGGTGTGGGGTAAGAGGAGATAAGGATAATAAAGAACATAATGTGAAAAGAATGTGAAACTTCATCACCATGGATAATAAGTTAATATTACGAGGGTAGGTCCTGATAATATTTTTCTTCTTATTACACTATCGAAACTCTCGAAAATATTTGAAAAAATTATTTCAGGCTATGACATAAATAAAAATTACTATGGATTACAGTGAGTTTCCTTAAATCCGAAAATGTATGCAACATTTTACCGCTTTATTCTAAAGGTCACTGAGCCAAATAAAATCAATAAAGCAACTATTATCAAACGTTGCTAAAACAAATATGTTGGAGTCAACTACTTAATGACTTCTAGTTTCAGGCTAATTATGTTTTAGATAACTGAAATCGATTCACAGGGAGGCTTTATTGTTATATATCATCTAATCTAATCTGTATTTAAAAGAGCAATAATGTTTCCTGAAAGTGAATAACATTGTCTAGGAAAGTAATACTGACACTTGTTAACAAGACGTACCACAATATAACGCGTTAATCAAACAAATGACAAAATAATAAGTATGGCAGACATAATTTGATCTAAAATAACAATATGGTAACTTCATGTTGTTTACTTATTAGTAACCGAATAATTTAAGCAACTATTTTTAGATTTTTAAAAATGTGCTGTCAAACTATTCGTTCAAATATTGACAAATATTCGTATATATAATGTATATTTGTAATTATTACGCTGTCTAATCAATATCTGACATAATAATTATCTAAACTGACAAAAAATCTAGAAGTTTTCATAACTGAAATATTGAAGGAAATAAAATAAATTCTGATATCTACGTATAACATCTTCTTTTTGATAAATGCTCACAATGCAATCTACAACTCGGTTAACAAGAGTTAACTAAATAACATTATTTCGATAGTGTAGTAAGAAAACGAAGATTAACAGGACTATATGATATAATCGTGCAGTACATTTCGAAAAATCTGATGACACGTAATATACTTGTTAAGAACATTTATATATAAAAATAAAAAGTCAATATAGGGAGAAGTAATCGTGATCTCGAAATTAGGGTATGTAAACATGTACCTAAATGGTTTCAGAAACAAATTAAATTAAATAACCCAATAAGAGCACAGGATAAACAGCCATCATCTGTTGCTAAACATACAATCGAAACAGGCCATAAAATTGATCTTAACTCGACTTTTGTGATGTACAAAAGTGTAAAAGGGGGTATACTAAAGTTTATTAAAGCCTTATCCATACGGAAATTCAAACCCACTTTGTGTATTCAAAAATAATTTATTCTTACCGTAAAACTTCCCTGACCGTTTCGTTCTAGTATGGAACTACTCAGCATTACGCATCCACGATCCCGCCCGCCAGATTCAAACCTTACGATCTCACTCACGAACGCTTAACATTTAGACCTTGTCTCCTCTTAATTCCCATCCATTTCTAGTCTAGTTTATCTTTTATTCTTATATATAAATGTTCTTAACAAGTATATTACGTGTGATCAGATTGTTAGAAATATATTGCGCTAATCTAACACATAATTCTGATAATCTTCGTCATCTTATTACACTATCGAAATTTATCAATGGGAATTAATTACTTTAGATAACAATATCATAATTTTCATTTTCAACAAGTACTGATAAATATAATACCGCATGAATATGTCAATTCTACAAAAACATTTTATTTATGTTAACTTTTTGAAAAAATGTTTTCTCTGTTCATTTCATGTTCATTTTCATTAGAAATATTTTTATCAATATCTACATTCTTATTACTTCAAATAGAATTAAAAATGTTTAACCGATTTTTTTTGTTGAAAAATAACTAGTCATAGGAACAACAAAAAAAAGCATGTCAATGAAACAAATTTTAAAAAATTCACATGAAATAAATTATTTGTAAAACATTTTTTGTCGGAAAAGGTTTTGTGGAGATTTCGAATCTGGCGATGCGGGATCGTGGATGCATACTGCTGAGGAGTCTCGCAATATGACGAAACGGCCGTCCAGTGTTTCCAGATTTTCCATGGTGGTCTAGATTCAATTGATTCATGATCTAAACTATTGAAATCATTTTTATTTTATTTTATTTCTGGTTATTAAAGGAAATTTTTATGAATCCCTTAATAAACATGTTATATTGATTAGGATCTCTATACATAAAATGCATTAAATTGATAGATTCAACCAACACTGAGAACTTATCAAGACGACACTGATTACAACATATTAACCGATTGATATCTATCATATGAATACAATAGAGTCTCTGATAAAACAAATAAAGTCTCACTTCAGACATCCTGTCACTGCAAGCAATCACCTAAAAATGTTTTTCACCGTTGTTTATTCACTTGAAATATATAGTTTTAAGAAAATTGGCGAGACTATAATTTATGGATGAACTAATCAGGTATAAGATAACACGTCTCGGATTTTGGGGTGAAATTCACTCATCCATTTGACTAAATAGAGTTTTAGAATTATAACCGATGTCAGTTCATGATGAAAATCCTAAATGTAATTCCTAACCTTAACCATCAACCGTATATCATAATTCCAATTCCTCACATTGGTTTATAATCTTCATTTAGTCCAAGTTATTAGGTGGACATTCTCAAAGTCACTTTGGCTTCACTCAAAGGTCATCCATAAATTATAGTCTCACCAGAAAATCTTTTGTTTATTTAGACAATACGAAATACTAATATGTCCTTGATACAACTGAAATGCAAAAGAATAACAAAATAATGAGTTTATCTATACATTAGATTCTTTTAAAAAAATTCATTACAGATTTTGTCACAGAATCCATATATATTCCGATTTCTTTCTAATTAATTCAGTATCACTGAATACAAGGAATTAAATGGTAAATGCTTCAACTAACCTACACTTATCACTACAGAGTCCGTCTTCGTTTATTTTTAGAGAAATAGTTTTTTTCCACTCTCTTCCTATAAATAGTTATGCTTTAGGAAAAGAACATTCATGATAAAATATTTTACTGAGCTAAAACAAAAAAAGTACTTTTAATTATCAATTTCACCAAGCAACAAACCTTTCGATTAAAATCTTCATTTACAATTTCTGTAGAAATGAAAATAAACCACCTTTAAGATATTAAAAAGGAAGAACATATTTGTAAAATCTTAGCGAATGAATTCGAAGTAAATTTAACGTTGTACCTCGAAATTCTTTCTTTCCCCTTCATGTTTCAAATCAACTTGACGCCCAAATATTGTGAAACTATTCCATCAAATTTAGACACATTTTCTTATTAATTAAATTTCCTGTTTTTCATTAATATCATGAACCGATTGATGTTAGACCAACGTTGGAAACCTGGAAGCACTGAACGAGTGTTTCGTTCTACTGTGGGACTCCTCAGTAATGCGCACCCATGATCTCGCTCGCGGGATTCGAACCCAGGACCTTCAGTCTCGCGCGCGAACGCCTAACCAACTGGATCACTGAACCGACATCTAGTGGTGTTAGTATCTAACATCAAACAATCAATGAAATCGCGCTACTATCTTTCTCCACCCGACACAGATTAGCTCCACTGGTCACGGCTTCTCACTAGAACTCCGAGAATTCCCTCACAAATCTAGTCACTGGTGAGCACATGTTAATTATCAGTATGGGTTAATGTTAGACACTAACATCATCGGATGCCGGCCCAGTGGTCCAGTAGTTTAGGCGTTCGCGCGTGAAGCTGAAGGTCCTGGGTTCGAATCCGTCGAACGGGGTCGTGGATGAGCACTGCTGAGTGAATAATTCATATGAAATTAAAGTTATACATTGGAAATCTTAAAAAATCACTCATTCAATTATCTTCTTGAAAATGTTTATTTAAATCAATAAGAGTATCATTTATGTTTGTGTGATACCGCTATTAATCAATTTTATCGCTATATCATCTCAATGAATCTAAATGAAGGCCGGGAAAAAATGTCCAGTTGTGAGTAATAAAAATCAGATTTAAATATTAGTCATAAAAGAGTATAGGAAGTATATAATGTTTAAAAATAAACAAAGGTTCAACTTACATTTTATAAATTCACCATTATATTCAGTTTCTTCAGTAAGATTTATTTGCATATTTACATTAAGAGTTAAGGTGTTTATAGAAAATAATGGAAACCATTGTTGTTGAGTAATTGAAGTTTCTTGACAGTTGACATTTATTATTGGTCCATTTAGTTTATGTGTCAATTCACATATTAAATCACTTTGTAAATATAAAGGTCGATTATTTATCTACAAGAAATAATTAATAAGATATGGATTACCTTTTTTGTTGTAAAAATTATTGTAAACCTCCTTAATAGAACATAATTATTAGAAATAGACACCTTGGTAACTTTTCAAAGAAAACAAACATTGAAAAACTGTGAAATCACTTGATAGGAATTATCTGTCATCAAAGTTTGTACTAAAATTCCTACCTAAGAGATTTGAAAATGAAGACTCGAATTTTAATTGTTTACTCGTATTTGTTAGTGTTTCAACACCCCTTCAGGAGACCAGGAATAATGTTCTGCGTACTCTAATCGTTTGCCCTAGTGATGCGAGGTGATTAAGGGACGTGAGAAGGATTAGTCGTGAAGATAAGAGATTTATTTGGAGGTGTTCGAGGGATTTGAATGTGACTAACTTTGCCTCGTGTGCTGTTACGGGTGTGAGGGCTGATATCACCTCACGGCTGCCCACACCGTGGAAAGGTATTTCTTGAGGAACCTGAAAAGGAAGTCGGATGAGTGTTGGTCTTAACGACCTGGGAGCGTGACCGCAGAGTCCAATGGACAATTACTTGAGGCCGGTCGCGCACGGCTTTTTTGTGGGAGGTTTATAATGTGTTAGCTCCGTTCTTCAAAGGGCCTTACCTCTGGAGACGGAAATCCGTGAGGTAAGGTGAGGTGTGACATTTCCAGGGTGCATGCACTCTTTGTATTCCCCCAAATTCTAATCTTCTGAATTCTTCATATCCCTTTCTTTTTTCTCTTCCCAAATTTATTTCACTGGATTGTACTCTTTGAATAACATCTTCAAACCCTAATGTTTCCGATTACTGCTAATACTCATACTACCTCTACCGCTACAGGATTTGAGTCGACAATTGTAACTGTGTGCTAATGCGGTATAGCAACTCGAACTGATGAACAAAGTTCTACGTTGTTATTGACTGACTGACTGACTGACAACACCCCTTCAACACATCATTCTTGAAAATGGATGCAACAATAATGACATAGAAAGTTATTTTCTCTGAAATATCTCATTTGGTGATTACTTTTAATAGAAAAACAACCATTAAAATTTCATAGCGGCTGTTATTCTTCACATGTTATCAACAACAAATTAGTCAAACATTATTGATATATCTAATAAATAAACAAATTTGTCTTAAATGAAAGCAAAACAAAAACTATTTTCATAGCTTATTTGAAAGGTAGAATTTAGTGTATTTTCGTTTATATCATGTGTACAGTCATCGATAAATTCAGCATTGTAAATTAGTATTGTGGAAATCCTCAATGAACAATAAAGACAAATTGTAATTTTTCATTGAATACCGCATTATTTATTTTACAGACTGTTCTTGTGAAATGTTTTTCTTCAACATGAATTATATTTTTATATCTGCTTAAAACGATATTTACTCCATATACCAATCTCATTTTGCATTGTGAAGTATACGATAGAAATCTCACAATAATAAACACATTTTAACTAGTAACTTATTTTGTTTTAGTTATAAACTTGATAAGCTATAAACAATTTATGAGGATTACAATAAAGAATAAACAAATAATGCATAAATATCCTAAGCAATACAAACATTTCCCATTTTTATTTTTATTTTTTGGTGGAACATTTTACTTGTTCCCTTTAAAAGCTAAAAATAAATAATCATTCATTGTAAGATTTCGTTTAACATGAATTCATTACATTTTTCAGACATTATAACATTTTGATGGAGTTTCGTTCTCTGAGCTCGGTGGTTTAGTCATAGAGCTTTCATCGTTTTTTTAACGACATCATCAGAACGAACTTTAGGTAGAAGTCTTTATCTCCCATTGAGAGATACAACCAAAACAAAGAAGTAGACAATGACAGGTTTAAAATCAACAAGAACCAATCAACATTGAGGTTTACAAGACAAGCTGTGAACCACATGTGGAGAAATTCGAACACTTCACTTCTACCTGATGTCTGTGCTGATGATGTTGTTCAGAAGAGCGATGAAAGCTCCACGACTAAACTATCCAGCTCGGAGAACAAAACTCCATCAAAATCATCCATCTGACCTACAAATCTTCTCCACTATTCCATTTTTTCATCACTAACTAAAAGATATCTATGTTTAATTTTTCGATATAACTATGTGGGTTTCAAATTTATGTTACGTTTTGTAGCTACTTTCTTATTTGTCAAATCTATTCGGTATTAAAATGTGATGTTAGATAAATAAACACTAGTGTTATAATTAATCATTTTTAGTAAATATTCCTATTATTTGTTTTACGAATTACAAACTTACTATGAAATGTTGATCATTTAGTTTTGAATTATCTGTTATAAAGAATGGTTGATACCCATCATTACAAAACATTGAATTTCGTTTCTTGATCATAGTCACTGAATGTGAATTGATAGTTTTAGGAATATATTCTGTTTGACATGAGCCCAAGTGATCTATCTAATAAAAACAATTGATTATATAAAATTATATATTTCTATGAGAGCTGTAATTTTAAAAAAATGATTCAAATATGTTTTGAATATTATTCTTCTAGTAAATGATTTCAAGCAACCATAAGTTGAATAGAGGATCTTTAGTTTTGACTTTATTTTTCTAAAGAAAACATACAAACTACTAGGATACTGGTTTGTTACTATAAATGTCATTTTTTAGTCATTTGTTATACAAACTACATGGCAGTTGGAAGTAAAGGAATCTAGCTCATGATGCGACATGCTAATCTATATATACATGTAAACATCAAGATTGAATTCTACTAATCAACTTTGAAGTAGATCAGAACCGAAGCTTACGCAGAGATAACACTGACTACTAACTACTCAGTGATTGTTCAATACCGAAATTTCTTGTAATAATTGTTATATGCTTGTGGTCTGTAAATTATCATGTGATACGGCCGCCAATTGGAACATCGACTTATTGACCAAACCGGTGATGCATAAACCTGTGCAAGCGCCCTAGAGTAAACTCTCAATTCTTATTGGTCCATCGAGAGAGCAGCTTCTCACCTAACCCAGCTGGCTTAGTCCAAATTACCAGTATCAGCCTTCACGATATTAATCCGGTATTTCAGATATAATTGTTTTATACCATAAAGTAGAAAATAACAATTATACAAGATCAAACCAAAAGTGGCTGGGAGTATAGGAGACCGTGAATAATAGATTGGGAATAAATTAAGAATGGTAAAACGTATAACACCAGTCAATAGGTCAAATGGAAGTTTATAATAAAATGAATTTGAATGTACATATAATATAATTGTTTAATGGTTATACAGTAAGAATATATATAATAACAGTCCATAAATAGAACCTAGCAGTTACTATTCACTTATTCTTCGTCCAGATATAACATAATTGGAGAAAGATTAATTTTTTCGAAAACCTTTAGCGAATGGTGAGGATATATATTTTTATTATTTGTTGAAATAAAGTGAAGAAATAATTTACCGACAAACTCCCCTAAGACTCCTGGAATTCCAAGTAATATTCCAAACGCAATGATGATTGGACTGGAATTTATTAAAAGTCTAATAGAAACTACTGATATTTAGTTACTAAGACATTTGAAATTGATAAAAATGGAGAAGCGAAAGAATGAGGAGTAGGATTCCTTAAATTTTAAAAGCATTCCGAAGGTTCTTGATATTTAAAACCAAAAAACTATTGTAAGCAAAGATGAATTAAGGCAATATCCAGGTAATACGTACAGTATGCACATATACTGATCAATTGAAGTCCTAAACATCAATGAAAAGTTCCAAACAAACAGTACCCAGTGAATTCAAACAACTACGAGCCCGATTATTCACCTATATTGCTACTAATGATTTATATACTGCAGTTTTAATCAGAAAATTATCATGGAAATTTGGATTCAGCGATATACAGACCGTAAAAGTACAAATTTGTGTTAGATAATTTTCTTTAAAAACACATGGTAATTTTAAAACAAGTCAATAATTCCAATAATACCAAACATAAGCACTTGTTCACATGATTAATTTTTTAAATGGTCTTTTATACTTTAACTTTCTACCTTTAGTTTTCTTGGAAACAATTGCATATGCATTCTTCAACTGACTGACCTTTAACCGGTTGAACTGGACTACATATTCGTGTATGGTTTGTGTAAATAAACAATACGGTTTGAAGTATATGATTTTTAGTGGCCCGAAATCTGACTCCCATAATATCGTATGATTGATCGCTGTCGAAATGTATATATCGTCAGTCTTCATATAAAATTATCGACTTAATCCGCTTTAGTGAATAACGGAATTAAATAAGCCAAATACGAGAATGGATTTTGAATATGTGTATTTCGTACAATTGTTGATCGAGACAAACGATCGAAGAAATGAAGCGAAATGACGCTCAGTGGAGAAGACATGTGAGCCGGTTCCATTTAATCATGCGCTAATCGATACTTATAGTCACACAAAAACAAGCTACAGATGTGTGGTGAGTAGGATAAGATGTACACTCATATAAAAACAAACAGGTTTGATAGGTGAAAAATTAACGACGTCAAAATATGACACAAGAAGAATGAATAAACTGGCCTGTCCAGAAGCTACAATACGCTGTGTGAACAGAACATATCAACGGACACTACAGATTTGTATCACAGAAGTATTTCTATTTATGTTAATGACGAAGTACGTTTCGGTTTCAGTTAAATGTCATCATTTCTGAAATTTTTTGAACTGAACAAACATTGTCTACACACATTCAAAGTTCTGTACATCTGTCCACGGTCGTATGAAAAAGTAATTTGTACTTGTAATTCCAAATTTTATTAGAATGACAATGAATGAGAATAAGATTTGGAATAACTAATATTCAGGAAATATAACTATGCGGAAAGCAAATAGAAACTCAATAATTAATCTAAAAGTTTACATAAAGGTCAATATAGTTAGGGTCTCAATAACTTATTCCAGTTAGACAAGTACTGAAAACCAAAATAAACTGGACATTTATTTCTTCCCAGCATAACAGTGCTCCTTAGTACACATTCACAATTCTTCTGCTACGGATCGAATCCAAACCCTAAACATTTAGAACACTGAATCGGTATTCATCAGCTTACATATCCAACATCAGTCGACTCATGATATGATGCAATCAACTTCTCTGATAGAATTGTCTTTTGTATATTGCTCAAAAATATCATACTAAGAAATAAGAGTTGTCTAATATTTCATGATTTCCATTGATATGCCTAAGAATGTAAGTGGTATAAATCAATAATCACTCCTAAAGTACAAAAACACACCTACCCTTAAACATAAAATTATGTAACATACATAGCTATTGAACTTTCGTACTACATAAATATAAATGTAAATATATTTTATACTTATTGATCAATTCAATTTAGAGAATGATAAATGTAAATAGACGTAGTTTCGTGAGACCTTTTTAATAAAAGGGATAGATATTGGCATCAAAAATCAAATGTTTATCTATTTTTTGTATTTAGGATTAAGAAGGCATATATCGAATATAATTTCTTTTTTAATGCTAGAAAATTCTGTTCAAATTTATCTGCGTCAGTTACAATCATTATTGAAATATTCATAGAACCGAATAAACTTTTAAGATTATATAAATGAATACACGAAATCTAATAGTAACTCTATAATGTATATTATTAATTAAGACAGTCATTTAAGTATATTCGTATATATGTTTAAAATGTTTTCACAATATATTGAGAATATCAGAAAGGGTGTTTGTGGAAATTATTAGTAATTTCAATGTTTGAGATCAAGAGTCCATTGAAGATAGACCATCATAGAAAACATGTAAGCATTGGACGGCCATTTCGTGCTATTTTGGGACTCCTCAACAGTGCGCATCTACGATCCAGCCTCACGGGATTCGAACCAGGGGCCTGTCAGTTTCGTGCGTGAATGTTTAACCACTGGACCAATCAAAAAGACAGTTACCTAATTTTGTCTAGTTTTTTAACTGAATCTTTGCTTTGCATTAGTTGCTAGTGAAACGTTTTCTCAACAGTTAATCTCCTGTTTACGATACACCAGCTACTATAGGAAAATCACACTACTTCCTTATTTTTATTAAAATGTTCATTTATGCTTTGTCGAAGATTCAATCAAATTTCACCTTTAAATTTTAACTGTGAAACTGAAAAATCAGCCATCGTCTAAGTGTCCAAGATACTTACACTCACATCACATCTGGTGATATCCTTGGTCAGTAATTGTTTTTTTTTTGGGAAAGGATGTTTCAAATGAATGGAAAGTCCGCTACCTAGATAGCTATATGATATCATACAATAGAATTTCTTCTTTTTTAATTATATTCTTCATCTAAAAATTTGTTTGTATCATTTGTGGGAGACCAATATTACAATAAAATCAGTCATATTTTTGGAGATCAAGTACAATGTAGAAACTTTGTATCCAAATTTTTTAATCAATGAATCCCAATTTATTTACCTCGTAAAATGAAACATATTCTACTGTAAATAGATAGTCGTATCTGCTACCCGGTTACTCAACATGTAGCAAACAAATTTAATAAAAACTGGCGTAAAATTATAATAGGTCTTTCAAGATGAACCGTTTTAGTCTGTGATGTATGATATTATGCCTCACAAAATGACAACACAAAGTAGCCCATAAATTAGTGTAAATAATTGTCATATCAAACGACGTTATTTTATTATAGCAAGATGTATGATGGTTTTTGTATACGTTTATGTCTGAAGACAAGACATATGGATCGCTGTACTGGGATACTGCACATTTGTATCAGAAGGGATTTTGTGGAGATCTTAGTAATTTCAGTTGTTGAGATCATGTGTCAATTGAAGCTAGACCAGTAGGTTCTGGGTTCGAATCCCGTGGGGCGGGGTTGTGGATTAGCACTGCTGAGGAGTCCCACAATAGGACGAAACGACCGTTCAGCCCTTTCATGATGGCCTAGCTTCAACTGACTCATGATCTCAACTATTGAAACAACTAAAATCTCCACAAAACCCCTCCTGATGCTTATCAATATATGCTCAATAGTGACTGGTTTCAAGATGTATATCCTGGAGTTCTAGTTAGAAGCAGTGATCAGTGCATTTCAACTAGGTCAGTTGTGAGATAGTAACTCATTGATGACAATGCTGGATGTGTCGCTCAATTTCGTGGATTAATTGAAGTTAGATATTAACACCGCTTGGTGCAGGCTGGCTCAGTGGTCTAGTTGGTTAAGCGCCTGGCGCCAGACTGATAGGCGCAGGGTTCGAATCACGCGAGGCGGGGTTGTGGATGCGAACTTCTGAGGGGTCCCATAATAGGACAAAACGACCTTCCAGTACTTCCAGGTTATCCATGGTAGTTCACATTTGTCTGTAAAGTAAGTCTACGATTTCAAAAAAATTGGTTTACGCAATGAGAAATTTAAATCTTT